TTGAGACTTCAGGCATGAGACGGTCGTATTATGTGTTTTGACGAGGTCGAAATTGAATCAAATGATGTTATGGAGTTGTTTACTTGGTATGGGTATTATGAGAAAATTAATAAGCTTTGGTGCTGGTCAGTAATTGTGACATTTGGTTTCATATTACTTTTAGCTTGTTATGATTGTGTGATTAAGGCGTGATTGAGTTTCGTAGAGCTAGTATGTGACTGCATAGTGGTTAAGATTACATATAGCGATGGATGGATAGTGAATAGATCTCATTGTTGTTTTGTGGATTGTGTGAGATTGTGTTTGAGGTTTGGACCTGAGGACAGGAATGACATGTGTGGAGACCGGATCGAGGATGAGGATGGCTTGGCCAACCATTTCTCTTGAATCAATCATTCTTTAGCACGATGTCGGGTCAAAGGTCAATGATTGTTTTGGGTTGTCACGAATAGTGAGAGTATGGTATTGGATGTTGTATCAGTGTGGTGGTGTGGATTTAGGGAGTTATTACGAGTGACAAGGTGTGTTAGGTGGGACCAAGTGTCCAATCTATTTAATTATTAAAGATCTTGTTTTGAGGATTTTTGTCCCGAGTAAAAGATAGTGTGTCTTACTGATTTGGTGACTAATGTTTATGTTGGCATTGGAAGATTCATCATTTAGTCTTTTTGGGTTGTTAAGTGTAATGATTATCGTATGGTGTGATTTGTAGTCGTTAGTACGATTATGTAATGGTATAACTTTGTGTTAGATAGCATGTACTTGGACTAATAGAGATGTATATGATTGGAATGTTTGTGTGTCCTTTGAAGGATGAGTTGAGGTTGGATGTCGTTGTGTTCGATAATCTAGTGACCACTTTCTTAGGAGCTTCATAGTCATGTGTGGATGCGTATAGAGTATCGGTGTCGAGTTTAAGTCAGGTGTAGTATTCGGTGGTATACATGGTGTGATGATATGAGAAATTAATACCCTCATTGGGTGGAAAACATTGGGTTTTGTAGCAGTGGTGTGTGATTGCCTGGTGACGTCCTGTGTCAAAGGCAATAACGTTGGAGAGTGCATTGTCATGTGGTTTTGTGAAAAACTCTTGCGGAGTCTGTGGTTGTGGATTTTTTTTTTTTTTTTTTATAAAGGAGGGTGGATTTCGAGGACGAAATCTTTTAAGGAGGGTAGACTGTGATGTTACTAATTTTTACCATTTTTCATTTCTTAGAATTTTCTGATTTTACAAGGACATTTTCGTCTTTTCTTATTTTATGTGCCGGACATTGTGGGGTATGCCGGTTGTGTCCGAGAGTTGGTTAAGGCATTTCAGTGAGTTCGGGACTCTTTGAAATGCAAGGGTTGCCATTTTGGCATTTTTCAATTTTTCGGGCCGGACGGTCCCGTGTGGGACCCGCTTCGAAAATTGTTGTATGCGGGGATTCTAGTTGGGCCCATTTACATCACATTCATTTTGATTTATTGTGTTTTGTATGTTTGTGAATTAATATGTGTACATATTTATGTGTATGTGGTAGAAATAAAAGTTAAAAACAAAAGAAAAGATTTTTTTATTAGGTGGGACCCACATGTTGCATTTTGTGGCCTTAAAGCCATTTTTGGCCTATCAATTCTCATTCTTTTTCTCTCCCTCACGCTGGAATCTCTCTTTCTTCCTCAAATTTTCTTTTTTCTTTTCTCTTTCTACACAAGCTTCAAATCATAATTTCTCTCTCGTTTTTTAGAGATTTTTTATACTGTTTGCGGCAAATTAAAGAGCAAGCTGAGATCTACATTTTAATCGGAGAAAATCTTTACTTGGTGCACTTTGAAATTTCAAATTTCTAAGGCTTGGAGTGGAAATTTGGGGCTTTTCTTCAATCTAGAGGCAGGGGTTCCTAATCCATGACTTCTTAGGCCTTAGTGAGTTAATTTCTCTTTAAATGTTGCCAAGTATGCTTATTTGTGTTATCCATTTTTTTTTTTTTAAATTAATCTAAATGATGTATATGGAATGTGTGACTTTGTGTTAGTTAATGGGATGTGAATAAGCATGCTTATGTGAGGTATTCTTATTTTTATGTGCTTGCTATGCCAAATCAAGGATATGTGAAAACATAAGCAATATATTTTAGAAATTTACTTTAGTAGCTTGTATGAAATTCTATGGTTGAATTTATGATTAGATGCATGAAGCATTCGTGCATCCATTGGGAAAGGAAAAAGGGAAAAATGTTTTGAAAGCAAATGAAATGATTTTGGGAAAAATGTTTTAAAAAATGTTGTGAAAACCCGGATGCCTAGAAGGCATCTAGTGGTCTATGGTGTTAATGTAATCTAGAGGGAAGTTAAGCTACCTAGGCCCAGACGATGCCATGGGAGTGCCATGTGGTCTGGGATTGCTAGCCAACTTTCTCCTCGTGACACCATAGAGGTGCTATGGGTTGGGTTTGCATTGACGGTTTGGATCGGTGAAACGGAATTATTTTGGAAATTAGGGAAAGACACTTTATGACATTACATCTCATTGCACGACATAATTTAATTATGACTTGGAATATCGATTTTGTGCTTTGTTTACCCGCCATGGCATGACTCCGCTTCTATATTTTCTATTCATTATTGGATTCACAGGGTTTCAAGAGGTGTGTCTTAAGCACCTCCTACTGAGCTTAGGCTCACCCCGTTGTTATTTAATATTTTTAGGGCTTGGGAAAGAAGTGGCAGATGACTGTCCACCACAAGTTTAGTGCGAGGACTTGAAGTCTCTTTTGCTACCTTTTGTGCACATGAACCATTTTTTTTTTTTTTTTGGAAAAGCTTAAATTTTCAGATTGCGTCAATCGTAAAGCATGGCCATGTAATTTAATTATGATAATTAACTGTAGTTTAATGTAAATGTAAAACTATGTTGGTATCTTGGTAATGAATGGGAATTGCTAGTATATTCAGTGAATGATTATTGATGCTTTTAACTGTAAATTATTAAGCATTGTTGCCGTGAATTCGGAACTAAGTGATTACCAGGTTTGGCTCACCAAGGGCCCAGGTTTCTAGACTTTCAGGCTGCACTTAGCAACACTCTAGGGCTCATCAGCCGGCTAACAAGGCATGTCTACCGGCTGACAAACCATTTTGTAGCATTCCAGTTAGTTGAGGCTTGAGAAAACTTGTTTCGGCCGGCTGAACCTTTTCATCAGCCGACCGATTTTCCTTCATCAGCCCGCCGAACTAATTTCAGTCGGTTGATGAGCCATTGTAGCAAAGTCCCGAGAGTTTGTAACTTTGTGAATTGTTTCGGCCGACTGACCATCTCAGTCAGCCGGCCGACCTTGTAGTTTCAGTCGGCCGATCAAGGGCCACCAGCCGGCTGAAACTTTCCCTTTGATCAGCACTTTGATCCTCTCCTTCCAAGCTGTAATCATGGAATACCTTGGACCTAGTAATGAATTGGGTATGGCCAAGAACATAGGAAATGACGATGGTAACCCTAGATGGCCTCGTGTCCGGGTGATGACTCAGTTAATGGTTTAGACCCATAGGTTCTGGTCGTTACACTAAGTTTGATTATAAGTATTTTTTGGCATGTTTGGATTTCTATATATGGTGAACACAACATGAATGCAACATAATCTACACCATTCCCTCTCCTTTAACTCTCCCTTGCATGCCGTGTACGTTTTCATCAAACCAAATGATGAATTGAAATAAAATTCGACAAAAAAAAATAATAATAATAAGAAAAAGAAAAAGAGATAGAAAAATCAATGGATACACTTTCTCGTACAGTTTAACATATGATTTTGTCTACAAATATGTAATACGAGTCACACGAGTAGATAGTTAGTGAGTCCAATATGCCGTGTCATTACTTATTAGTGTGCTTAACCAATGAACATATGCCAAGTATGTTTTGACTCACCTAATATCTACTCGAGTAACAGGATCAGTAACAATTCACATGCTGTATTCATTAATTTATAGAATAAGTTATCTACCGTATAAAGTTGAATATTTGAGCTTAGTTTTCACACATTATACTTGGGCATTACTCATTTATTCGTTTGTTTAGACAAATTCAATCTCATACTCGATCTCATTCTCAAGCTCTAATAAACACTCAGGTGCAGCAACATACTATATAAGTTATTACTCCCAACCCAAACCCAAATAATGCATTGTTCAAGCTCTAGTCATTTCTTAAATGAGCTTCAAAAATGAGCTTGGACTTAACTTTTTGTGCAATAAATAAGTTATTCTTTACTCGGGAATTGAGTTCACCTGATTATTCATGTAATCTGGACGAAATAGAAAACTTGTCAATCAGATTATTTTTTATTGTTAGTAAATATAGAAGTACGAGAAAGGAGAAGTGAGGAATTAATATATACTTCCTTCAACATTTTCAATATCATATGAATGCCTCATTAATACATGGTCAACTCAAGAAAATAATGCTCCTCGAAATAGATGTGCTTGAGTTTAAAAACTGAGTCATCTCATCTAATCAATAATATATATGAGGGCAGGCAAAATAATTTTGGTAGGTCCCATCAGTTTTATCATTATATGTCAATTTATCAAATATTCCATGATTATACTATATGAAGTCTATGTTACATTATCTAGATTGATTTATTTTGAAGACAACCATAAAATTTAACCAAAACGGCAGTAATATATATATATATATAGAGAGAGAGAGAGAGAGAGAGATGCAAAGATGGGGAATATGCATGAAAGACAACTTTGAGAATGCACATGCTAAAGTACTCATGCAAGTCTCCTTGTTGTTGGAGAGGTCACTATTTTAGGGACTTCTTTTTCAAAAGCGACAGTTGGTTGCATTAACTTCCCAACGCGGTTTATAGATAAGAAGATGGAGACATTTAAAACCTTCTCAACGATCAACTTAATCATATGGGGTCCTTGGGTCTATATAAACCCACATCGACTCCTCACTTCTCATCAATATTAAAGATTTAAAGTCATCTTTAATATCACTACTTGCAAAGATGACTTCCAAGTTTCTTCTTCTTTTTCTTCTTGGTTCTCTTGTCTGTAACACCTATGGTAGGAAGCTTGTAAGCTCAAAAACTTCTCTGGAAGAAGAAAAAGGATTGTTTCACCGCGGAGGATTAGGTGGTGGAGGCGGTGGTGGATTCGGAGGTGGCGGTGGTGGTGGATTGGGTGGAGGTGCTGGTTCTGGTGGTGGAGCAGGCTTTGGTGGAGGTGCTGGTGCTGGTGGAGGAGCAGGTGGTGGACTTGGTGGAGGTGGTGGTGGAGGGTTCGGGGGAGGCGGTGGCGGAGGAGTAGGTGGCGGGTCTGGTTTTGGAGGAGGAGTTGGTGGTGGGTTTGGAGGAGGGTCCGGACTTGGTGGGGGAGCTGGAGGTGGTGGTGGTGGAGGGTTTGGCGGTGGTGGCGGCGGGGGACTTGGTGGTGGTGCTGGTGGCGGCGTTGGAGGTGGACTGCATTGAGGACAGAAGCTGGATTTCCAAGCATTCTTAGTTTCAATTACATATAAGTAATTTGTATCATGTGTTTGCTATCTTGCATTGCAAGTGTTTAAATGTTTAATTATAAAAAATAAAAATAAAAAGTGTTTTAATGTTTGTTGCGCTTAATTTGCCGTCTAAATATTATAATGAAGAAATAAAAAACTCTTTAAAAAATAAAATATAAGCCCGAAATGCATGTTGAACAATTCATGATACTCTTATTCTTCTTCTTATTATTATTATTTTTAACTGCGACCCAAAATAGAAAATATTTTTCTGTTTGTATGCACCCATGCATTTGCTTTGTTCACGTGTAGATGGAACTCTAAAACCACAACAATGTTTACCCAAACAAATTTTAATAGTTGCTTATAAGCTGCGAATTTGATGTATGGGTCGCTCCTCTCCCTCCAGAACTCCTCTAACACGGGTCTGGGTTTGATTTCGCTTTCAATATTTTAAACAAAAATCTAAGAGTTTGTTTGGTTAGATAGAAATGATACGAAAATAAAATAAAAGGAAAAATTAAATAGAAATGATACGAAAATAAAATAAAAGAATAGAATAAAAATTAAAATTTTAAAATTTCGATTGTCTGAGGTTGATTTTCCCCAAAAACGTTTCTGGTATGGAAAATGATTTTTATACAGATTTGTTGTAGACTTGCAGTGAATTGTTACACCTACTATTTTTCACTGGTCATTTATTCCATAAATAAATGAATGAGTCCCTCTACTTACTTGTATATTGCATAAATAACCAATCAAAAACTTCGATATATATGAATATCATTACATGCTCTTCTTGTATAAAAGTAAAAAGTAAAACGTCCTTTTATATTTTATTTTTCTATTATATTCCTTATCCTAATTTTTTCTATTATAAAGTCAATTCAATTGCCATTGTTAAAAAGTCAACAACAATTGCGATTATTTTATTTTTCTATTATAAATTATTCTTTTTTCCTATATTTTGTTGTTGCATATTTTTTTGTTTCTGTAGAAAGTGAAATATAGGTGGAAATTATTATTTTTTTCATAATTGAGAAGGATTGGAACGTGAGATTTAATCGCGAAAAAGTAAATGAATAAAGTAAGTTTGTGAAAGTTATGTTGGGCTTTGGGTATGACATATGGTTGGTTGTTATACGGGTTGTAAAAACAATCGTTGGAGCTAAAAATGGGTAGTATAAAATTTTTGTATAAATCTATTTTGATATATTAGATTTACACAAAAATATATACACAGCGGTTGGATATGTTCTTAAATGATTATGTGTTTCTAATAAATGTGTATTGGGTAATAATTTAAAAGACAATACTTAGGTCCTCCCCTAGGATGAAGTCCTCCTCCCAGCTCATGTGGTCCAATATAATTTGAACATATGTCTAAAATTTTAAATTTTTTAAAAATAGCCATTACCCATTTTCTTACTGTTTAAATTAAACCATATATATATATATATATATTCTTTCCAAAACAATCACCATTGTTTCTATACCCAATCTCCATATGAATTTGGAAAAATACTAAATTCATTTAGAGAATGTTTTAATAAAAAACACTTGTTCATATATGTGAGAAAATCTCATATTCAAATAAATTAACATGTATTTTTTGAAAGGTAAAGTTAATATTATAGATGAATAGATAGGAACATTGAAGTTAGCCCAAGCTAACCAAATGAGAACAGCCCACATGAAATAGGCCCAAGCCTTTACAGCCCAATCAAAAGAAACCAAATGTGATCATTACACATCAAAGCAGTAAGCACTGATCATGGAGATGGACTCCACTTCGCACGTCAATTTCGGTCAGGAGGTTTTGCTGGCAGATGGATAACTGAAGAAGGAAGGTCCCATTCTTGAATGATACGCTTGGCATTTAGAGAATCCTTGATAGTTGCAAACATGAGCTTCAATCTAATGGAATCCAGAATTTGGTGGAGAAATGAATTTTGAGACAGAGACTTCCTCTTGAAAATTCTTCTATTTCTTTCCATCCAAATGTTGTAAACCAGTGCAGACAGTGAAAGCTTTGCAATTATGTTTCTATAGAAGCCTAAGGTACCGCGCCAGTGAAAAGATGCCCAATTGATGAGGTTTGGCCATGAGGAAATTTGGATGTGTAACCCATATCTCGCTTGAATAAATGTCCACAGGGGCTTCATTTTGTGACGGCCCTGGTTTTTTAAGCCAGTGCATCCTGTAATGAACCGAAGATTGACTCGATAACGGATCTGAATTGCGAAAGCAAAACAGAAAACAAGACTCTAAGAAGTCAAAGTGACCTTCTATGAGGTCGTGGAACTCAATGAGAATTGTTGCGGAAGCAAAAGATCAAAAATATGACAAATAAGCCCTCAGGGGTAAAATAGTCATTTATGAAAACTGTGGACTCGGGTGCCACTGAGCACACCGCTGGAAGAACGACGAAAAATTAATCAAGATGGACTCAAGAATTGCATGATTCGGAGTCCGAACGAAGGAGAAACGGCATGACGAAGAAAAACGAGCACTTAAGGCTAAAAGGGCAAAGTAGTAATTATTCAGGAAGAACTGGGTGTAACCGAGCACACCGTTGAAAAGACAGCGAAAAATTAATCAAGTTTAAAAAAAAGTTCACTCGATTTGGAGTCCGGACGAGGGAGAAACGAGTGTTTAAAGTTTTGACGTTGCGGCGGCCCGACGAAGGCCATGACATGCCCCACGCGCGCCCGACGACCATACCGGTGCGCGCGCCGTCACCTGATGGCATGCCCATGCTGACAACAAGGGTCCAAAGTAGGTTTTCTAGAACTGAGGTTTGAAACGGAGGTCAAAACGAGTTTTTCAAGAAAAACACGAAGAAGAAACCCCCCCTAAAATCGAGTTTTCTACATGACTTGCGAGAGCATTAAAAAAAAATTCACTGTAAAATGCCCAAAATGCCCCTCCATGAAATCTGGTCATGAAGGCCAAAAAGCTGCTAAATTGCAAACTGGAAGCTGAAACTTCACAAGGGATTTCCGGTACCAAGACGACATTTTCTGGAAAAACACGAAGAAAAAACCCCCTCTAAAATCATGTTTTCTAATCGACTATATCAAAAGAAGAAAATAAAACTGATGTGAAAGGTCTAGAATACCCCTAGATTAGATTATGCAACAAAGTTGTAAAATGAGTCCACAAGAGGCTCGAATCACCAAGGATGAGGTTTTTTTTTTAAAATGATCATACACGCAAACGTAACTTACCTATTTGGATGCGCTACAATGGTCCATGGCTTAAAAATACCGCCGATGCAAAATCCGACCCCCCAACGGCCAAAAAGGCAAAAATGGACTTGAAATGGGAAAAATGAAAACCAAAATTGACAAATGATTTCAAATTACCGTTTGGCCCTTGGACACACTTCAAACATGATTTATGAGACCTTATGAAAGAATGAAAATGAAATTCCCACACCCGATGCAAAAGTTATGACACAATGTCTAAGCATTTTTAACATTTTCATATTAAGTCTTGAAAACGAAAGTGCATAGAAAGCAAGATACATGTCATTGGCTTCCTGCCTTATCTCATACATGGCAAATATATTGTACAGAGTGTAATTATGTACACATTACAAAAATAGAATCAAATTTACATATTTTGACATATAAAGCTATAAATGGCATTTCAAGCCAACATTTACATGAAATGAGAACTTCAAGTCTACAAATCATCCAAGCATGATGTGAATCCCAAATCTTGATTCCGGTACCTGAAAAATGTCCTCACTACATGGGTGAGTAACATAAGGCTACTCGTAAGAGATGAGCATGCATTGACCTAGCATTTTACAATTATATCACCTTAAGGTGAAACATGTCAAAGGGACTCATACCACCTAACGTCTATATCAAAATGAGACTCAGGGAGCATCATAAGCTACTCATGCAATTTAAAGTGAACAACGACATACAAGTATACATGCTCAAGTATACTAAATAATGTTAAACATGTTATACAACATACAAGCATACTTTTCAAAGTATACTAAACCACATTAAGACAAGTCATGCAATGTCTAAGCATATTTACACAAGTATGCATTTTATATGAAAATCTCGTAAATCAAGTATACCGACACAAGTATACTAAGCTAAGAGAGATACGCCTAAGATAAGTATACACGGCACAAGCATACTAAATGAAATCTAAACTCACAGAGTAAGCATACAAGTTTAAGTACACTATATGAGATCTAAATGCACAAAACAAGTATACAGTTTCAAGTATATTAAATAAGATTCAAATATCCAAAGCAAGCATTAATTCTCAAGCTATAAGTAATCCATGATTAACAGCTTGAAATTAAATGTGAAATCAAATAGTGGAAAGACTAGGATCCTTGGCTGCAGACCAATCGAGTTATTCCGGGTTACTAGCCTGCAAGGTACTATCTAGTGCGCGCGTGTATAAGTTATTCCGGGTAATTACGACCCTCAAGGTACTACCTATTGCGCACTTCATATGACTTAGGAGACTCATGAATCCGTACTAAGGCCAAACCCTAGCCATCACATGAGTATGATCCTTACAAGCCTCCAAAAACAATAAGTTCAAAATTTATGCAAAATCAATAAGTTAAACCAAACTTATACATCTCAAATAATGTCTAGGAATCAATTTACATGCACAAGTAAGGTTGAATTCACACAAACCATGTCCTAGAATTCAAGTCTAAATAGCATATGACATGTCATGTTCTCAATATGCAATTTACATACAAAGCAAGAATATTTTACAACAATTGAGTCACATTACTATCCTAAGCCATAAGTACTAAATAAGCTTCAATTTAGTAACAAGCTTTCAAGGTAAACAATTGTAGTATTCTAACAAGTTATATACCTACACAAAATATATTTAAACATGCTTTACAAGTCAATGATATTCTATATCATGTTAAGTCCAATTACCATTTTAAAAGGCCCCAAGTACTAATTCTACATC